TCCCCCCCCCCCCCCCCTTCCCCCAACAGAGCAAGCGAGGCGTGGACGCGGAGTTCCTGGCGCTCCTGGTAGAGGGGGCGCTCAAACAGGAACCCCTGGGCAGCCACACGCCCAGCTGCATGTCGGGAGCGTCCTCGACCTCTGGGGAAGGGGCGACGCAGACTGCCCCAAACGGCGGCGGTGGTGTAGCAGGAGACGGAGGGGGCCCAGCAGGCACGGGGGGGGGCGATGACCTCAACGGACGACCGCTGTGCAAGCAGATCGCGGAGCTCCTGGGGAGGGTTGTGTCGGCGACGTCGACGAGGGGGGACGCGAGGGTGTGGGAGGTGTACGCCAGGTTTAACGACGGGGCGGGAAGGTAACTAACGACACGAGATCAGACGATGGGAGAAATGATTTTTTTTTTTTTGTGTCTTGTTGTTTTTGTTGTTGTCTTGACGTTAATAACCGTTGTGATCTCTTTACCCAGTACCTTCATCTATCCGTACTGATCGAACACTCGACCGGTCGATTACCGTGGTCACAGGCTAAGTGTGTGTCTTTGTTTTTGCCGTCGACCGCACTAACCGGCTGACGAATGAAATGACGTCATGTTTCCGTGCGGCTGAAAACGGAAACTTGTTCTGTAGGTCATGCTTTTGGACGCCGTGTTTTTCGTGTTTTCTGTTTTTTATCTGCACTTGCTCGTTTGTGGCCCTGGCTGTTCATGCCCAAAGACATGCCTAACACGGGTAAACACACCGAACGTGGTGAAACAGGTCGGCGTCCTCGAAAAGGTACGGCACCCGCACTTGCCGAGGGGTCGGGACCGATAGTACCAGACCGTAGGATTGTTTTTGGGCTTGTAAAAGTGGGTGCTTTATTGGTTGTAAGATCGCGTCCTCCGTGCTATGGGTATGTGGCACGAAACCCTCGTATTTTTGTTTTCTTGTTCCGCGTTGTATCAGTTTCTGCCGCAAGCGCATGCCGAAAAGACTGTAGATTTACGCCTTGTGCCCCCGAACAAGGATTTGCTCTCCAGCGCCTCCCACCCATCTCGCGATTGAACTAACCCTACACACATAGCACACAGGCTGACCGAACGTTCAAGATGTCTTCTATTCTATGTATGACGAGAGCAGGAATTGTGCTTTGCACTCGTGCGGAAAGGATTGCGCGTTCGGTGGCCCAACTCGGCAATCATCGCCTCCCCATTCCCCTAATTTATTCTTGTTTATTGAAGGGATCGGTCGAGAGTCTTGGACTGCGTGAGCAAGCAGTGCCGTGCCCTTCAGCGTCCCGGCTGGGAGAAGGACGCCGCCGCCGTTCTGCGACTGGCGACCGCTAGCGACAAGCTTGTGCAGCTTTATCTCGAGGTGGGTCGGAGTGGCCGTCGCTGATGATGAGGATGTACGTGTTGGTATTCGTTTCCATAGTTTTTTAACACGAGCTTCCCGCTGCCGCTGTCGTGAACAGCGAAAGAGGCCGGGGCAAACAGTAACGAACTCGTTTCTTTTGTCCCAAGAACAACTGTCCGACAGTCCATGTTGTTTTGTACTCGTATGAGCCGTGTTACAGAAACGTGTAGGCTGGCACACCACACGGGAATGGACGGCACGATGGAACACCCACGCCTCGCCTGCCCGACCCTAGAAACCCTCGTAGACATGTGCATTTGCCTTCATCGGCTTCTGTTCTGTCTTGCATCCGGAGAATAGCCTAGCCTCCTCCCACCCCCACGGCGTCGTAAATAATAACCTTTTGGAGCGTTTTCCGTTGTTAGCCGCACTGAAACTGACGTCCTTGCATTGGTCAGCCGGTAGTACCGTAGGTTGCATAAGATATCACACTTTCATTAGATACCGCACCCCCTCAGAAAACGTACACAATACCACACCCGTGTGCTATTTTTTTCAGCCCCCCAAAAAACGTCATTTTATCACACGGTGACATAAGATACCACACCCCCTGAAGTTGGGCCGCATTAAATCGACGGAGCCCCTGCTTATCACACGGTGTGACAACGTGAGGACAGAGATCACGACCACACCACCTGCTCGCAAGAGCCATGGAGGCGGACAATGTCGTGGAGGGTGGTGCAGTTAGGAACCCTGCTGAAAGCCCCGCGGCTCAGACTGCAGTGGGTAAGACTCCAGCGGCGGCCCCACGCTCCATAGCGTCCTACTTTCCACCTGCCCCGGGGGAACGTGGGGCTGCTCGGACGACTCCCTCAGCAGCCGCACATGACACCGCACGTACTGCTGAGTCCCGCTCAAAAGAATCTACTGCTACTGAGACTCCCACAGCACCGGCTGCGCCTGCCACCGCGGGTGCCGCCGAAACCTGCGAAGCAGAACCTACTGCTGAGAATCCCGCAGCACCCACACCCACACCCGAAAAGGCAGCTCTCCCGCCAACCACCAACACCCTGAGCGCGGCTACTGCTGAGAATCCTGCAGCAGCACCGCGCTGCGGAGAACCATCGTGCACCAACAAGCCCTTGTGGGCAGAGCCAGGGAAGGATATGCCGGAGTTTTGCGGCAGGCATGCGAAGTCTGGCGACGTCTACATCAAAATAAGGTGTGCGCAGAGCGTCTTGCAGTTTGCAGCACATGGGTGTTTGTGAGGATTCTCATGGCTCAAGCAAACCAAAGAACATGCCACGCCTGATTGCCTGATCGATAACCAGATCGAAAAATAATGTGATTTTGACGTCGTGTCGTCGCGCTCGCCTCACTGCACATTGGCATGTACACACTACATTTACATGTAGTTCATATATTCTGGTGTGGGCGAAATGTTTACTGGATTGTTTTTGTCACACACACGACACGTTTCCGCATACCGTTTTTTGTGTTTGTGATGTTTCGGTAGGAAGACTGCGAAACCCATACCCAACACGTGCAAATATGTACACATAACCTCGACAGCAGTTCGTGCCTGTTTGTGTGAGATACGAAATAGGTGCCGTCAGCTGCTCACCCTCTGTACCTTGCATGCGTGGACGCCATGACTCTCAACCTGGTGGCCGTTGTCAGAGCTATCCGCTAGCCATCGTATTTTTGGTACGTTTGCCTGATGGTCGTTGGAGCGAGCGCATTGTTACACATACTGCACTTAACGACACGTATGCTACATGTTTTGTTGCTTCCTCGAACTCATGCGCTTTTCAGGAACGTGCACCTGCCTGAAGCACCGACGACAGCAGCCGCAGCGGCGCCCGTCGGTGACGCCATGTTTCCTGGAGAGTCAGAGGAGTGGACAGATGGTTTCGGTGGGCGTCTCGACGGCACGCCGGCCGAGGGCAAGGGCAAGGGCAAGAGGAAAAGAGAGCCGCTGGAATTGGAGCCACCAAACTTCCCCATTAAGTTTGGTGGTGGCCAGAAACGCAAGCGGTACGATTTGGAATTCAAAGTAAACGCCATTAAGTACGCGACCATGCAAAGCCCGGGGGCGCAGGGGCCTAATGGAACCATCGGTGTGTCGTATGCGCAACGAGTGCTTGGGATTCCCGAGAAGATCACACTCTCTGCGTGGATAAAAGACAGAACAAAGTACGAGAAGCAGCTGGAACAGGCAGACCAGCTCGGGGCCAAACGGAAGAAAAAAGCCCGGAGCGTGAACTCGTTCAACACGGGGAGGGTTAGGTCAAACGCTGAGGCCGAGCTCGAACTTCTCGACTGGATCAACGATGTTCGTTCGGAAGCCATCTCTGCCCGCGTCTCTACAAGGATGATCAAGAACAAGGCGGTATCGCTCAACTCGCTTTGGTTCGGCCCGAGGCCTGCAGCGAACGACCTGGAGGGCAGTAGAAAGTACCACAACAAGCAGACTCACTGGTGCAGGAGGTTCCTTAGGAAGAACCGGTTGTCATTCCGGGCGGTTACCAGGCAAGGCCAGAAACTCCCTTCCGGGTGGCCTGCGATTGCCATGAAAGCCGTCAAGGAATGGAGGGCGCTTCGTCACGGAGGAATCGACGGTGGGGGAGGACGGAGCATGGGGGGGGCAACGAGCAGTGCGCCTTCGAAGCCACCTCTGTTGTTCAAGGAGGAGCAGAGCTACAGCATGGATGAAACTGCTGTGTGGATGGAGCCCGCTGGCACGTCGACCGTGGCGGTGAGTTCAATAGTGTTGCTTCGAGTCATGTGCCTGTCTGGTCGTTTCTTGGCATTCCGTGCAAACAGTGGGCATTGTGATGCAATATTTCTTGCCGTACCTACTCAGTGTCCAGCCAGTAAGGCTAGACGACGTTGGTGTTGTGCTTATGCCGGGTTAGAAGTTTCTTACCATTCGCATCCATCATCGCTGTACTGCAAAACCCATACGTTACTTTGTGCGTGAAGAGCTGTCATTCTCATCTACAAAATCGACCTTTTTCGTCGCCTCTGCTTTCTCTATTGTTTTTTGCTTCTTATTTTTGTCGTTCGCAGCACACCGGTCAGAAAGAGGTGGCCATCAAAACCGGTGGAAAGGAAAAGTTGCGGATCACTGCCGTGCTTGCAGCAAACATGAAGGGCGGCAAACTCCCGCCGCTGCTCATCTTCAAGGGTAAGCCTACGGCGCCGGGCAAAACCCCGCTGCCAACAGCATCGAACGAGAGTTCAAGGTGGGCAAGGACAAGAAGGGGGTAGTATACCCTCAGAGCGTTGTGTACGCCGTGGACGACAAGGCGTGGCACACGCAGCGCGTCTTCAGGGATGTTTGGCTCCCCCAAGTGTGGAACCGGCGCCCGGGTCGCGAGGGGGTCCTGGGCAACTACCGTCAGCCGGACACGCTGCTATCGTGGGACGATTACACCGTGCACAAGACAGCCCTGTGCAAGGAAGCGATGGATAAGTCCAACACGACGCTGTTTTTTGTCCCCGGAGGCCTAACGCCCAAGATCCAGCCTTGCGATGGACTTATCAACAAGCTGTTCAAGTCCAACATTTCCAGGCTCTACGATGACCACATGGCCTCCACCGACGCCGTGCGCAACGACCGCGGCTACCCGGATCCCCCATCGAGGGGATTGCTCGCGCAGTGGGTGAAGAAAGCGTGGGATGAAGTGGACCCTGAGAGCATCCGTTCGAGCTGGAGGAAGGCT